GCATACGTAATTTATAGCTAAGAAAGAATAACTCATCGAATGCCATGAACCAAGCAAGCTCTACCTTAGACCTAGATTCCACCATACTTTTAGTTATTTTTGTTGATACAACAATAAATTAATACTAAAGATGAGAAAATAAATTGGTATGGTATCAAACCTGACGTCCACTAAATTCAAACTTAAGCTCTCTCATTTACAAATGAAGATAAATATTATTACATCGTAATACTAAATGACTTACTTTGGTGCTTTTAAGTTAACCAAAATTTTAATGCACTTTTAATGTTCACATTTTTTTTTTTTAGTGAAAATGATTTTTTTTTGTCAAACGATAGATTTTGTTAAATTAGTTCACTCAGTCCACTATGGCCTCATTTGTTGTAGAGGATTGATTAACGTGATAACTCACTGTATTCAAGATGCAATGAAGGAAGTTAATGAAAAAATTGCTCCAACGTGAAAATGAAAGATGGATTATTGTTTTAAGACAATTTATTCATTACAATCCCCTAAAATAATACAATTAGACAAAAAAAAATTTACTTCACATCTAATTTCTTATCTCTTCAAATCTCTTCAAATAAAAAATCATTTCCCTTCAGTTTCAACATCCCTTCAATTTTCTAAGTTACCCAATCCAATCCTACATAAGAGCATCTACAGTAGAGTCTCTAAATAAGGACAATCACCTTATAAAATAGGTATAAGACAAATATATTGACAAAACGAATCTCCAATGGATCGGAAAGTGAGTCCTAAAGTATAGGGACTCACCAAATACATAGTGTATATCCTTACATAAAAGGACTGTATAAGAACAACCTTGAGTAGTAGAAAAGGCCCACAATCTTGATTGTAGCTTTCAATGCTTTTAATTAAGTAAAAAATGTTAGCATAAACAAAAAAAATGTGCACCTTAAGTGGAAAACAGGGCTCACAATCTTGATTGAAGATTTATTGCTTTTAATTAATTAAAAAAAGAAGGAAATTATATTTACACATCCTAAATTACTTCTCCTACACCTTTTTATTTTTTTTTAGTATTTTTAACACACTACTAACACTTGATAAAAAAATATTAAAAAATTAAAAAGGTGTGGGAGAAGTAATTTGGAGCGTATGAGTATAATCTCTCAAAAAAAGATTAACATAAACAAAAAAATGTGCATCTAATCAAATTATCACATAAAATCATAAAAACTTTAAATTTAGAGATTCTATTATAAAGACTCATCTATTGGAGTTGGAGACAATATTCATGTAGGGACACAAGTTCTTTAAGTCCTTAAATAAGTACTCACAAATGATGGTGGGAGTCCCTAAATAGGGACTTCATTTGGAGATGCTGTTAGTATTGCTTTTTCTTTTGTTTTTGCTTTCAAGGCTTTTGGCTTTTGCTTTTGCTTTAGTATTGCTTTGGCTTTCTAGTTATGGTTTTCAACTTTGGTTTGTTTTTATGTTCTTTTAATTTTTACTCGTATATGTCCACACATAAAGTGTGAAATTTTTTACTTTGATTGTTAAAATTGAAGGAGAGAGGAAGAGAGTGAGAGAACGTGGGAGTGGAGAGAGAGGGAGAGAGGTTGTTTTTTATTTTTTAATTAGAGATGATAAAATTGCATTTAGGTGAGGATTAAAAAAAAAAAACAAAATTTTGTTATGTGAAATTACATTACTGTTCTTAACTTTTTTGTTTGGCTAAATATACAAAATGGTCCTTGAGATTGTCCACCATTTATGAGTTTGGTCCTTTCGTTAAAAACTCTTTGGGCAATTTTCAAAGCTTCGTAACTCAATCGTTTCTTAACCAAATTGGATCCATAATATATCAAAATGAAGATAATAAAGTGTAGAACAAGATTATACCTGTTTGGAAGCTCAACGATTGTCGGAGATGACCGGAAAATAGCCTGAAAGGTGATTGGTTCGCGGGAAAACTGGAAAACTCATCAGAAACTGGGTAAATTTTAAACGTTCATAACTTTTTCAATACTCAATGAAATCGAGTGATTCAAAAACAAAAATTATACTTCTTGACGAGACGAAAAAAATGATACATTTCTCGATGGCTAAATCGCTGTGGTTTGGCCGAAAAACGGCTTGAAAGTGGATAACTTGAAAATGGTTAGCCACTTTCGAGCTGTTTTCCGGCAAAACCACGGTGAGTTAGCCATAAAAAAAGATACCATTCTCCTCGTTTCATCGAGAAGTATGATTTTCGTTTTTGAATCACTCGATTTCGTCGAGTATTGAAGAAGTTATGAACGTTTAAAGTTTACCCAGTTTCCAGCGAGTTTTTCAGTTTTCAGGCTATTTTCCGGCCATCTCCGGCAACCATTGGGCTTCCAAATGGTATAATCTTGTTCTACACTTTTCTATCTTCATTTTGATATATTATGGGTCAAATTTGAGAAACGATTGAGTTACGAAACTTTGAAAATTGCCCAAAGAGTTTTTAACAGAATGACCAAAATCATGGACGGTGGATAATCTTAAGGACCATTTCTATTGATTTTCAATCTCAGTGACCATTTCTATTGATTATGCAAATCTCAGGAATCATTTTGTATATTTAGCGTTTTTGTTTTGATAGAAGACAAAAATATCTTTTTATCCTCTTTTGATTGACAGAGACTCTTTTGATTGACAGAGAGGGTTTCATTGATGTAGTTTTAGATTTTTTTTAAAAAAAATTTAGAGATGATAAAATTACATGTATGTGTGGTTTAAAAAAACAACAAAATTTTGTTTTGTAAAATTATGTTACTGTCCTTAATTTTTTTGTTATGATAGAAGACAAAGATGTCTTTTCACCCTCTTTTGAATGACAATGAGAGTTTCACTAATGTAGTTTTAGATTAGCAGATTTACTCTGCCGCTGCGAAAATTATTGACGCTAAACCCCGTCGGCTGACTGAGCACCCTATTTTGGTCTTTAAAGGGCGAAATCGTAACTGGCCGCTGCGAAAGATACGAAACGGTCATCTTAGACAAGAAAAGCTACTTTCGGCTAATTAAAGTGCATTTCGTTCTGCTAGTAACAGGTAGAAAACACATTTTGTTTGCCAATTTTCCTTTGTAATCTACAATCATCATCATCAAGTGACAAGTAGTGCTATTTCACGTTAAGAAATAAACTTGTAACATTTTATATCTTCCACAATGAAATTAATTGCTATAATTCCATAACAATTGAGAAGCGAGTAATGTAAAATCGACAAGCCACAATGAAAGTAAAATTTGAGGAGTTTCGGGATTTTTCATTTTAGAAAACCATGAATACCGAGACTAAAATGCTTGAGTTTAATTAAAGCAACAAAACCTTGGGGTTTTTGTTGAAATCATGTAGCATCAGAATGAGATTGTAGCATAGCGACTAAGTGTACGAGTGTCTAGTGTTGAGTTGGCATGGTGAGCCAATTTTTGTATTTTTATATGTTTTTGGAGTTTTAAAATTTGACTCATGGGTTGTTGCAGATCCAACTTGAGCATTGAAATTGCAGGTAGCCTTGGCCAGAGTGTCCTAATCCTCCACTGGAAGGAGTCGAGAAGTGATTTCCTTCTCGGAGTAGTTTAGTTTAGTTTCATTTGTTTCACCTAGCGAGTGTTGAGTTGTGCTACAACATTGGCTAAACGTGGTTTTCGCCTTGAGCGATGAGGTATGTGGCTCGTCTACCAACGATGACTTTACGTGGTCTCTCCCCTTCGCGATGAATTCATGTTGCCATGCTATTCAGCGATAACTTGTAGTCACTGAAACTAATCAGTTACGTCTATCATTTTGTGTTGCGTCTATCATTTTGTGACAGATTAGTATGGTTGGCGCCTCGCTATTCGGCGATGTCTTGTTGTAGTCGTTGATACAAATCTTTTGTGTCTATCGTTTTGTGACAGATAAGTATGGGTGGTGTGTGTAGTTTGGTACATGTGGTAGCCGTTTAGGGGTTTACTATAGTTGTCTTGTTTGAGTAAGTTCAATCCAGACCATTTTATTGGTCATTAGAGCATTGGACCCAATGGCACCTCTGCATTTGTTTGTAATGTTCAGTGAAATATCAACTTATCGTTTCTTGTAAAAAAAAAATTGTAAAAAGAGAAAAGATAAGAGTACCAAATATACAAAAAGAAGAAAGATAAAGAAAATTAAAGGTGAGATTAAATAAAAGATTTAAATAGTTGTGGAAATTAAAGCTAACAACTAAAACAGTTGTAACATTAAATGATACGTAGCATTGAAACTGTTGTACCATATATTGGGCCTCGATAGTTGGGCTTCAAGACTGAGCTCATGATTTATGTAAGAGAAAGAAATCCTTATTCTATAAAAGGGATCCTCCTCAACTTCACTAAGGGGGGCTGAAAGGGAGAAAAAAAACATACAGAGAGGTAGAGAATAATACAGAGAGCCAATACTAAGCCTCTATAGCCTCCATGCATGTTGTAACCTTCATCAATATTTAAAGATATCAGTGTGGACGTAACCCAACTTGAGGTGAACCACGATATATCTTTATGTTCTTGTGCGTTTGTGTGATTCACGGTTGTATTTACGTTGGTCCAAGATTCGCCGGATTTTGTGCATCAACAGAAACCTTACCTAATTTATACTTTACTTTGATCTTTTTTCTTTTGTGAGAAAAAGAGATTCTTACTTGTCTTGATAATTTTTCAAATTTCTCATCTCAAGTCAGAATGAGATTCTTTTGAGTTTCTATAAACTCTTTCCACTTCTCTCATTTGATTTCATTCTCTTTTCATCTTCCTAATCTTGTAAGCATTTTGGAGACTTATATTTTCAAATTTGTTTATATTTTGTATTGTAGGTTCTTCCTTGTCAAATCGGGACTATGGTTTGTTTTCATTCCTGGATTTTGTTGCTTCCCTTGTTTTACACATACTATGATTTCTTCCGTTGTTCTTAGCATTTATATAGAGTAGTGTCGTTTTATTTTTGTTAATTGTTAAGTGCGGTTTGAGGGAAAAAAAAAAAAAAAAAAAAAAAGCCTCTAATTTGGATGAGGAGGGCCAGGGTGCATGATTTCCACTATGGCAGTAGCCCTCCTCAAGTGGCGTTGGACAGATTGACTTTGGGTTTTTTTTTTCCCTACATATGCATGATTAACATAAATCTTGTTGAATAAATTGACAGGTCGAACATGACAGCTACAGTTGTTCCTATAGTTCTTAACCTTAAAAACTATGATGATTGGAGTTCTCGGATTAAAACCTACTTATTAGCCGAAAATCTTTGGAACGTTGTCGAAGGCAGCTATAGACCTCCTATAAGAGAAGATGGTGAATTTGATGATGAGGCTTGGGAGAAGAAAGATGCCAAGGCCTTATATGCAATCCAGAATTCTTGCGGGGATGATATTTATCAATTTATCAAGAACGAAACCATGGCCAAAGGAGCATGGGATACTTTGTCAAATAAACTGAAGAAGCCAGATGAAAAGTCTGATGAAAAAGGTACGTAAGTAAATACATGAAAAGTTGAAGAGAAAAAAAAAATTGATAAACATACGTCAATGGTTGTGCTTGTGCCTTGTAGGTGATCTATGATTCTATATATTCTAATTTGAAGAGGAATATTTTCACACACGTTTGTCATCTTAACATCAAAATTTTCATTTGCAGTATACATGTCGGTTGGTGAAGCGTATCCAACTCTGACTAAGCCAGAGGTTTCAAAGAAGAAGGGCGCACAGAAGGTATATATATGTAGATACCTTGATCCTCACAAATTAATAGTTGTATATAATTCTATTTAATAGTAATAGTATGGCTAACCATTGACATCAACAATAGACCTCGGTTATATTAATTAGGGAACAAGACTTCGCTGCTGATAACCAATAATGCGCGGACATGTGTCCAAGTTTTATTTTTTTTAATCAAAACTCGGACACATGTCCACGTGTAATAGGTCTGTGACACGGAAAATTCCTGAAACGAAAGAGACAAGAACAACGCGCACAAACAAATATTTGTATTTGATGATTTTGGGTTACAATCTCTCTCTAATTTGATCCTCTAATTCGATCTCCGTAAGGTGTTGATTTGTGGGATGTGCGATTGATCTAAGGGGCCGTCGAGGCTTGATCTTGGATGAACGAGGATGAACGGATCTTCAAGGGCTTTTGGGCTTGATCTTGAAGAATGGTGATTGACGGATCTTCAAGGGCTTTTGGGCTTGATCTTGAAGAACAGTGATGAATGGATTTCCGAGGGCTTTTGGGCTTGAACTCGAAGAACAGTGACGAACGGATCTTCGAGAGCTTTTGGGCTTGAACGGATCTTCGAGGGCTTTTGAGCTTGATCTCAAAGAACAGTGATGAACGATGAACGCTTTCTTCAAGGACCGTCGAGGCTTGGGCTTGATGAACAGCGGATGAGCGGATTCGTTGATGTTGTCGATCCAAAGGTGCCGTTGGGGCTTGATCCTTGAGGATGAACAGTTGATGAACGATGAACACTTTCTCCAAGGGGCCGTTGAGGCTTGGGCTTGAAGGTGGATGATTGTTGATCCAAGGGCCGTCGGGGCTTGATCTTGGAAGAACGATGAACGAAGAACGAAGAAGGCTTTCTTGATTCTTCGGAAACCTGGATGCTTGAAAGCTTCGGAGTTTCAGAGCTTCAGAGCTTCAAGGTGTAATATGAATTCCCCTCAAATGAATGAAATGGGCTTGTATTTATAGAATTTTCCAAGGCCTAATTTTGAATATAATATCCCAGATGAAATAAGTCGTTTCTGCCAGGTGTTGACACGTGTCCTATTTGATGACTTTTCCAACTCATTTCAATTTTCGCTGAGTCACACGCTACGTGTAAAATTTATGTAATACATGAGCGTTGACACTTTGATTTATCGGTCAACATTTATTTACCGAAATTTCGATGTCTACAAATGCCCCCACTTCAAGGCACGTCGTATACATGTGCTTGTCACGTGTAGGAGATGCGTTTTGAAGTCCCTTACTGTAGATGTCGATCCAAAGGCCGTCGAGGCTTGATCTTGAATTGGGCTGGAGATTTCTTCAAAGGCCGTTGAGGCTTGAACTTGAATTGGGCTCGAGATTTCTTCAAGGGCCGTTTGGGGCTTGTTCTTGAACTTTTGTTTGAAATTTCTTCAAGGGCCGTCGAGGCTTGATCTTGAAGGTTGAAATTGGACCACAAGGAGATTCATGTGGTAGATGATCTTTGGCTTTGGTAGTGGGTGAATCGGCACGTATTTTGTTGCGCTTGTTGACTTTCCACAGCTTTGAACTTGAACTGGGTTGGAGGATTTTCTGGATTCCTCCAATTGTTGATTTTCCACAGCTTATTCTTGAACTAGGTTTTGATTCAAGGGTGGTAGACACTTAATCTTGAATCAGACTTGTGATTTCTTCCAGGGCCGTCAAGGCTTGATTTTGAATTTGGCTGGAAGCTTCTTTAAGGGTCGTTGAGGCTTGATTCTTGAAGGTTGACTCGAACACATGGCAAGCAGGCACGAGGTGAAGGTGACGACTTATTGCTCTGTTCAATCTTTCTAATTCACACCTGAGCAGTTTGGTCAACGGTATGATCTTCAAGATTGACGGGCTCTTCTTCCAGTTGGGGACTTGATCTTTAAGGATTTGATTCAAGGGTGGTGAAACGGCATATGCAGCCCACAACGCCTAGTAAGTCGGCCCAAGAATTTAAGGGTCAAAACGAGTTCTTCATCTCAGACTCTTTCTGCCGAGTTGACTGTGCATGCTGCATTCTTCTCTGCTTGTTTCTTCAGGCAGATATGGCAGCTTCTCGAGTTCTTCAGCTCGGACTCCTTTTGTTGAGTTGATTGTACAGACTGCATTCTTCTCTGCTTGTTCCTTCTGCACCTTGTCTCCACATGCTGCAAGGTATCATTTTCACTTGCCTTATATGTTCTCCAAGCAGATGTGGCAGCTTCTTTGGAAGTACAGCAGCAGTGGGAAACGAGTACTCGAGAGCAGTGCTAGGTAGGCAATCAGGGAAGGGTTCCAAGCAATCGGTTCCTTACCCGAGTTTGAATGGAAGTTTCGACATATTGTTTTCTTTATCCTTGTCTTTGTAGGTAAGAACATGACAAAGGAAAAGACAGGGAGAACGCATGATATGAGATACTCTTGCTTTCTACCCTGGTGATATGAGATACTTTTGCTTTGGAGTCATTGGCTTGCAGAGGTACCCCAAGGAATAAGGAACATTGAATGACTCGAGAGGCTTCGTTGGGAAAGCATTTTTTTGAGATGAAGAAAGGCTCTGTATGTCTACCTTGCTTATGGAAGGCGAAGGTAGACAATTATAAGAAGTTCTTTGATACCTGTAGAGGTACTATTCTTTCACTCGTGTTGGCAACCAATGGGTGATTGATCTATATGGCTTCACGTGTTTTCTTTTTTATCAGAAATCTTCGACAAATTGTCCGTAATTTCCGCCAAGCTGAGTGTGCATGTGACAGGTGTTGACGCGGCTGAAAAAGACTGGCGCCTCTTCGATAACTGGGATCGGCGCTTCGACAAATTACCCGTGATTTCTGCAAAGCTGAGTTTGTGTGTGATGGGTGCTGACGTGGCTGAAAAAAACTGGCGCCTCTTCGATATCTGGGATCGGTGTTTCGATAAATTGCCCGTGATTTTCGCAAAGCTGAGTTCGCGTGTGACGGGTGCCGACGCGTCTGGAAAAGCAAGATGCTTCTCCGATTTCTGAGCTTGCCTCTTCGATTTTTGAATGGCCTCTTCGAATTCTGAGCTCGCCTCTTCGATCTCTGAAATCCCGTCGAGTGCTGATTTTTTATAGAGGCATGCAGTTCGTTTCAAAGCACACTTGAATTTTCGCTTGTGAAAACTCCTCTCTTGTACTTCTAAGATCTTGATTTGTCCGATCTCTTCTTCCTTCAACACTTTGAAAATGTCTGGACCCTCCGACCGTCGTTTTGACTTGAATCTTGGTGAAGAGGCAGTCCCTTCTTCTCCAGACAACATATGGCGCCCATCCTTCATATCCCCTACTGGTCCTCTTACCGTTGGGGATTCAGTGGTGAAGAATGATATGACCGCTGCGGTGGTGGCCCGAAACCTTGTCACTCCCAGAGATAACAGACTACTTTCCAAACGGTCTGATGAGTTGGCTGTTAAGGATTCTCAGGCTCTTAGTGTGCAGTGTGCAGGTTCTGTATCTAATATGGCCCAACGCCTATTTGCTCGAACCCGTCAAGTTGAATCATTGGCGGCGGAAGTGATGAGTCTCAAGCAGGAGATTAAAGGGCTCAAGCAGGAGAATAAACAGTTGCATAAGCTCGCAGATAGCTATGCGACAAACATGAAGAGGAAGATTAACCAGATGCAGGAATCTGATGGTCAGATTTTACTTGATCATCAGAGGTTTGTGGGTTTGTTTCAGCAGCATTTGCCTTCGTCTTCTGGGGCTGTACCGCTTAATGAAACCTCAAATGATCAACCTTCGGTGCCTCCTCCTCCTGGGGTTCCGCCGAGTATTGAGGCGCCACCTGATCGTCCTTGAAGATCCCCTCTTGTAAATTTGATTTTTTTTTTAATTTTTTTATTTAAGGTATGTATAATGCAAATTTATGTAAAATTTCCAGAAAAAATAAATAAAATGGACTTTTATTTCTCTTAATGTTTTTATTTTATTTTATTTTATTTTATTTTATTATTATTATTATTTTATCATTATATATATTATATTTTTTTTTACCTTTAATCATGGTGCCAGATGCACCAAAGATCAAATATATTTTTATATACATTTTTTTTAGCCTTTAATCATGGTGCCAGATGCACCAAAGATCAAAACATATTGACTAGCACTAGCACTACTAATCATTTCTCATTTTTTATTTATTTATTTATTTTTTATTTTTTATCTATTATTTTTTTTCTTCTTTTGCTAGCACTAGCACTACCACTCAATTTGTTTTTTTTTTCTTTTTGCTGGTGCCAGATGCACCATCTTTTTATATATATATTATTATATTATATTATATTATTTATTTATTTATTATTTATATATATATTTATTTTTTTTATTTTTTTAATATATTATATTTTTTTTTTCTGTATAAATTTGGGTTCTGGGCGAGGAGGAAAGCACGGGTCACGCCAGGAGGTGAGGAAGAAGGAGGAGCACGAAAGAGGAGCATGATGAAGCTCGAGGTAGTTGGTGTGTGGCTGTTTCAAGACAACTTGACTGTGGGCTTGTGTTCTTGGATAAGCTACTGAAGCTAGGGTGGTTGTCGAACTGCACCGGCTTTGAAATTAGCTGGTTGCTGGTGTTGGTGGTTGCCGAAGTATTCACCGGGTCCTTCATTTCCATGGTGGTGGTCGACGGATCGTTGAGCTAGAGCGACGAAGGGTCGTTCTCGCCCTGATCGGCGGTGGCGCCGCCGCTCATAGGCCAAGAACCGACCTCCAAATTGTTGAAATCAAACAAAACCCTGACCTTATTCATCAGATCGGAGCTCTGGTAGATGAGCTCGGTCGATCCCAACTCCACAACCTCATTCGCCGTCGGAACGCAAACCATAGTCTGCAGCCCAAACACTTGGCCCTGTCGCGCCCGCTCGCACTGAGAAGACCCGAACCCGTTCTGGACACGGATCCTGCCTCTGACGCAGATCAACCATTTGTAGTTTCCGTACATCCTTAGCCCGGAGTAGATCTTCGCAGCGATGGCACGGTACCGTCGCTCCCGCTTCTTATTGTTCTCTCTCTCCTTCCACGTCGGCATTCTAGTTCCCGACGTCATCATTCGGTCGTGCGGCGTTTTCTGATTAACTTTCTCAGCGAACCAAACGGATC